TGTACGAAATTGTTACAGAACTTGTTTATAACATGAGTAAATAATTGCTATACGATGAGAGAATGCAGAATTGCTTTTATTTTAAACATGTTTGAGCTTGAGTTTCAGTTCAGTTCGAGTTCGACTTGTTGTCGTTGCTGAGGTTTGATGTTTATGCAAACGAGTATAAACGAACACTTAAGAAGTTTATTAATCAAGGTTAATGTGATTTTTAAAGTGATGTCAACTTGATGATTTCCATCGAAAGTAGAGTATTTTTAGTAAATCGTTACATTGGATGTTGCAAGATGTAAGAAATAGTGCTACCGTAAATATATATAAATATTTTTATATCCATCCGAGAGAGAAGGCCATGCGCTAATTTTAAAGTCTATTTTGAAATCTCAAATGCGCAGCAATGAGACAGGAAGACAACATTCGAAAGCAGCTGCCAAATGTAAGATCGTTGTCATGTTCGTGCACGTTGAAATTTGAAATTGTTTAACATTTTGCGCGTATGTCTCTATATTCTTCTACCTGTAAGAAGCTATCGTTCTTAAAGTCATAACAAATTAAAATACTCAACCTTGATACGAAATCGAATATAAAAATGGATGTGATACGCTAGCATTGGGCAAGGACACAGTTGCAATGCAATGTAAATTGAGTATATTCGCGGTTTCAAAAGCAAAAAAAAATGATTTTTTGTTTAATAATATTATAGAACATCGAAATTTCGTGCTTTCTTTGATTAAAGATCGTGTTTAGGAATCGGCAGCAAGCGAAAGCGACTGTTTTAACTCTTAAGTGCTTAAATGGATTTCGCTACAGAGTGTTTAACGTCGGCTTATGCATTTCGCACATTGCTGTCAAATATTTTCTAGCTTCATTACTCATTGTCAAGCCTTCTACAAATCTCTTGAATAGGTGTTTTTCAATATGAATTTATACAAAAAACTCAGATATCAAGTAAGTTATCTTAAGTTACTTTATATAGATCTTATGTTCCCCGAATTCCGATCATTTTTGTGTCATCTAAAGAGTATTATACCGTTAATCAAAAAAACCCTTTACATCTTTATTGCTTTTGTACACGAGCTAAAGCAACGATTCTTCTCTCTATTTATTAAAATGAATATTTACAGTGTACACAATATTTCAATTTTAGCTAAAGTACATCTTTGCGATAATTTTGCTCAACAATTTCATGAAATTCTGCAAACATATCCTAGGCATGATCAGCATGAATGTCCGAATAGGCGAAGAATCCCGGCTAACAACTCAATGCTCGCTGATTCAAATCTCAAGTGCGGTAGAGTTTTCAATAACGGCGACAGCTTTTAAATCCATACTTTATAAATTTACAAAATATATAGACAATAAATTAATAAAAATATTCTACAGTTCTATTTTACATATATTAGTGAAAGAGGGTTGGCAAAACTAGACCACGTAATGGATCCGAAGAATTGCAACACTTATGGATATGTGCTGGTAGGCTTAGTCAATTACTTGCTAGTAATTGACGTTGGGCCGTAGCGGGGCATAATTTGAATACATTTGAAGCACTTTTCTCCGGCAAGAAAAAAAAGCTTAAATTCTAATACAACAAGCTACGTAGTTCTATTCCGCACAGCAGCTAGTGATATTTGAAGGTATTCGGAAAATAATTGCGGAAATCTTTAAAAAAAATAAAAAAATATAATTCGAGGAAATTTGTAGCTTCCCATGCTATGACAAAAGTTAACGTTTAATAAATTTTGTTTAATAAGTTTTCGTTGCATAATAACAAGCATTTTCCTCCTAAGTGTTTTTCGTGATATATATATTTTTCCTTTAACAAAGAAGTAAAGAAAAATCGCCACCAAGTAAGCTCTTTATCAAAGACATATAATTCGGGAATATTTTTGTTTTTTTTTAAACAAAACAAAACAACTTGTCCCGCGTCTTTATGCACTAACTTGTTCAGCAATGAATCGAGAAGAGAGTCCTCTAAAGTTTCATAATGCTGGCGACGTTGTTACATCTGCCTCCTAATAGCTTTCACTTTCATCTATGGGAGCTTCTCTATAATGGGAAAATAAATTATGCAGACTCTAATGCTCTGCGCGCCAATGCACGTGTAACCGCGAACATAGTAACGTACAAAACGTTGATGAAGCATCATTATGTTGTGCAACAAACCATAGACTATGACATTGACTTTTAAGCTAAGGTTAGCATGAGGATAAACTAATGTGCAAAGATTTCAAAAACAGGCATCTGCACCACCATCGCATTATAATTAATTTCCTTACACATAGTCCCTGATTTTCTGGTATTTTTCATAAGCAAAGTTTCAAGTCGTTAAATACACGTTGAACTTTAAAATTCATATACGGAAGTAGTAGAAGGAGAAAAAAATGAAAAATTAGTGCTATTGAGCAATATTAACAGAGCTATTATCGGAGGTAGCAAAGCTCATCTTCTTTAAAGATTTTAAATGTAAATACTGGCAGTAAACGTTCAACTTGTTAAACGCACTTATCAAAATTACGAGAGCCAGCTTTTTTAACATTTCGTCTGCAATAACTCTGTGCACATAAAAATCGTCATCATCATCGTCAACTTTGCGTGTACAAAGCAACGCCATCACTAACAACATTAATAAATATTTACATGGCATGATGTTAGGTTATGTGTTATCCACAGACTCATCTTGAAAACTTCCGTTGTTGTTTTCATCTTCGCCTGTTGACCTTTTTCTGAAGACCACGCAAAAAAAGAAAATTTTTTTTTTTTATTTGTTGAACGTAATTTATTAAAAATAAATTATTTAATTTGTTTTCTTTCCTTTTTGCGATGGATTCGCTAAATAATTGATAAAAAAATTGGATTTTACTATAATTGTCAAATACCTTCAATAACTAATAAGTAAGAAAGTTATATTCGGCGGAGGCCGCATCTCACATTCCGGCCAGTGCTCCCCAACTTCTTTTATTTGTTTGCTGGTGTTACTAAAAAAAAAGTAACCGCAGTATCTGCCATATTCATTTTAGAATGAACCCATATTTAGGCAGATAATATATCTTTATTTGAGAAATGTACACAATAGTTTTGACCATTCTGACTTCAAAAATATGAGAATATGTGTGAGAATGGGCGATTGTTACCATTTTTGAACGTAAAGAGTAAAGTGAAGTAAACGAGAAAGTTACATCCTTCTATCCTTTATGATGTCCGAGTAAGGTTCAGTTTTGCGACCAGAAGAGTGGCAACAACACACCCCACACAGCCAGACAGACATGGCTAAATCAACTTGGAATTTCACGCTCATCAAGAATATATACACTTTATAGGGTCTCTCAAGCTTTCTTTTGGGTGTTACATACATTATGGAAAAAAAACAAAATGGGCACACCCTCATCTTACGGCCGTGGGTATAATAATAACGACTATGATATAGACACTATAGATACTAGAACTAGCGAGTAAGTCAAAAGGGATCAACTTTTGTGACCCATCACCGAACGATGAGGATTACATTTATTTTGCTTAAACGCTTGCAACGGCGTGTATCAACTTGCGTGCAAGAATCTTTATTCGTTCTGTGCTCCAAATTGTGCTTTACAAACGTGTTGACAAACATCGACATCACCTTCTGTGAAGTGTTTAACAGCACGTAAACACATTTAATATTTGATAGCTGAATAGCTGAGGTAGTGATACAATCCATTTACAGCATTGCTATGCGCGAGCAAGCTGAAGCTGAGTTATTTGAAATTTTAAAGATAGTGGGTCGGACGCGGTTCGTGGCTCTGTTCACAAGGATAAAGTTTTGTCAGGAAATCCGACAAAGACGGATAAAACGCCCACAACGCATATACTCGCCATACATAGTTAACTGTTTAAATGGATCTTTCCATATGAAAGTTAAACGAAATTCTGCAATTTCACCTGCTCATTACAACAATGTTCGATTTTTCAACTTGTCCCGCTAGTTTACTAGAGGCAATCTCATCAATATTTCCCATCTGTCAATCAAAGAGAAAAAACAAATGCAATTGACAACAATTACAATATTTTCACGCATTTTTCGTCTTTTTTCTTTCCTTCAGTATATAAACGTGCAATATCTTTATTTGCAACAACAAATGCGTAAAGAAACAATAAAAAGAGAAAATGCATAAAATGTTGTGTAAAACATTCGGGAAACTTGATTAAGACAACATTCGTAATTATCAGCCAATGCTGAGCCACCGACGACAACCATTCAGGTGCTAACAATGTAAAAATGCATTAATATGATTAACTGCCGCGAATAAATCGCTGTTGCAATCAGAAGAAAATGCATATGGTTTTGTGTATGAAATCAGATGCGTGCGTTAATAGAAACTAGCGTACATTTGGATAAAATTAAAATATTTAAAAATAAATATTTCTATAAAATTAAACATTTACTTTCTAATATATATATATATATATCTACGGATGTCTATCTGTCTGTCTGCACATCCATTATTTATGATATAAAGAAAAACAGAAAGCAAAAAATAATAAAAATTTATAACGATAGACGAGCAGACGAACGGTTAGCAAGCAGACCCATTAAATCGGATTGATTTAAACAATTGAAGTAGCATAAAAAAAAAACAAAACACATGAGCGCATATATACATGAGATGCTTTAATTATACTAACAATAACAGTAACAATAATAATGGTAATAATAGTACAATAATAAGCAAAGTTTGGATAAAATTTTGTTAGTTTTATTTTTTAAATTTAATTCAAATCTCTTAACGTTCAAAGAAAAAAAAATTCCAAAATCATAAAGCATGAGTAACGAGATGATTCTTTTCGCAATGAATTTCATCTTTTTGCAAAATATTTCATCATTTAAAGCTCTTTGCAAAATAATTATAATAGAGGAGCAGTAGAACAAATAACTTTCGCGTTCTGTGTTTAAAAAAAGGAAAAAATTTCATTTCGAACATTTATGCAGCAATAATTGTTGCTCTCCTTTTCTTATCGTTTTTTAGGTTTTGCAAAGAATCGATGATGTGTCGTTGATGTGTGATAAACGTATTGCCAGCCTAAAAAAGTTAGCTTTAAAACCACCACGACCAGTGCAAACCGTTACTCCAGAACCAGCTGTACCACTACAACCACCTGGCGGAGCTCCAAATTTGCTACGAAGAAAACATAAGGTAAGCCTTACATATCTGCTCATTATTCCCGATCTCCAAAAAGGAGAGCAAACGTCTATTACTAATTTTTATGCAAGAGGAAATGATCCTATCGAATACATACTAATTTCATTCGAAAATTCTGAAAAATGTACATTTATTAAGTATACTCAAGGGAGTCGCAAGTACTCAACTCGGTAATGCAATTGATCTTTAATTGTTTTGAACTTGAAGTAAAAAAATATTTAATATGTCCACGCATATACGGTATTTTCAAAAAAAAGGTGGCTTTTATTTTTCTCGAACAACATTTATTGATTCATCAATATCTATTTTGTCCCCTTCAAAGTAAAGGCCCTTGGATATAATATACTTGTGGCAGCGATTGTTCAAACCCTCGAGGCACTTCTAATAGGCGGTTTTTGGAGTGTACCACGAGTCCTCTAGCGATGCGATCTTTATCTCCGCCCTTCCACGGGCCTTTTCATTTTCCCAACAGGAAAAAATTGTAGACGGCCATGTCCGGCGAACACGGTCGCTGAGACGAGTTTACAGTGTTGCTTTTGGTTAAGACATTACGAACAACCAGTGACGGGAGCCTTAGCAAGTTCGAGAAAAACTTCGCTGCCACACATTTCATACCGAAATCATTCGAAAGCATCGCATGACGTTACTCGTTTGCCATTTGCCAATATAACAAAAAAAAAAAAAAATTTCGAAAATCGAATGTACGTAGCCCAAGGATTTTGAAAAGTTAAAATTTTTTCTGAACGTACTTCGTATCGCACGTTTGTTTGCAAATGTTCGGAAACATGTCGTATAAAATTATTCCCTATTCCCAGATATCCTACTGTAAAAATAATTGTGTGGTTCTTGTTGCGGGTATTGTTTAAATTGAAAATTACTTTTAGTTGGTCTTGAAGTACGAACCCAATAATTATATGGGACTTTTATTGTTGGGTGCACTAAATGAGAAGGAAGTAATTAAAAGAAGGAAAAGATTTTTTAAGCTATCAAAATACCTGTAGAAAGCTGCGAAATATCATAAAGAAATTAATGGTTGATGTATAGACTAGAGCCATGCCTATAATCATATTCCAAAATATCGGATCTTTTAATAATTCCAAGTCTAAAGCTTGGATCAGGCGATCTCTTAATTTCTTAAAGAGCGACTCATACGCTTGAATGGTGGTCTCTTGATGGATTTTATATCTGGAAGGCAACAAAGTTATATATTTCTTATGCTTTCGATAAAGTTTATCATCGGCAATCTGCCCTGTTTCAATGTTTGTACTGACTTTAATTTCCTAAATATCATCTTTTCTGGATTGATTCGAGTCTTCAAGGAGTAGCTTTGCCCTTTGCGTGTATCAACACTGACTAACCAACTTTGATATTCCGCCTTTCGAATATGTGTATGTATTCCACACGTATTCAATACCATGCTTAATGTTGTTCCTTCCCATTTGAATAAGAACAAGAATTGTAAAATTGTGTGAGCAAAAGGGAGAATTGTAAAAATTGTTTGAGCAGCGCAATAACAGGAATTCTACATTTTGTGAGTAAGAACAAGAATTGTAAAATTGTGTGAGCAAGAACAAGAATCGTAAAAATTGTTTGAGCAAGAGGAAGAATTGTAAAAATTGTATTCAACTCGCAAGTAAGAAAAAAATTTTTTTTAAAATCTTTTATTCACTTATTAATAACTCTCGTTGTGACGTACACTATACATAGGTTATATTACATTTTATCAAGTTTACCAAGTAAAGCCGTTTTGCTTACACAGTATAACGTCAGTTTCCGATCTAGACATTATTGTTGTTACTGGTCTATCTTTTTGGTGTTTATTACCTCCTGATATAAACAAATCGATGAACCAGATGACAATAAAAAGTTCTAGTTCGGCCAGATCTATTCGAGAATATGCTTCCATTATTAAGACTCTTTCAAATGAACATTAATTCGATACTATTGCTAACGCTGCATTATAAACATAGACTTCAACTTATTGAAGAGCGTGCTTTATATATATTTCTAACGTTTATATTTAAATTGTTGCTTACTTAGCATGTGTTATTCGATAACTTAAGTGTCGAGCTTGAACACACCTTTGAATCAAATTAAAGCTACTTTACTTCGAAATCTTTCATTTATATCCCGTTTCCAGGCTTGAATAATTCGGCTAATTGTACACCAAAAGACTATTTACATGTATTTATACATATGCAGTGCAATATTTAAATGAAAGAATTCAATTTTTGAGCAAAAAGCTAGTGATTAATTTACAAGTCATCTTAAAATTAACTTTTCCAAAATGCTATACGCACGGCATCCGATAGTGTTGTGCTACGCAATTCTCCCAAGAACGTTATCTTAGGCCCGTTTTTAGTGTTTTTCAGCGAACTAACAGTTAGAGCGAAATCGCCTCGAAGCTAAAAGTTAACTTCCGCTTTTGTTTTTAACGACTTAACAAAAACAGCTAAAAGTGGAACCGAAGGTTTTCAAACATTGGATGTTAAATGAATTTGATATTTTGTTTCTGAATTGACTGAATTGCAGAAAAAACTTTCTTGTTCAGAAACCAGCGAATACTTTTCAATTTTTGAGAGATAAAAAAATGATTATTGAACATAATATGTTATGGACGCCCTGCTCTAAAAACGAGAAAGTCGTGTGAAATTCTAAGAGCCGCTTTTCCTTGCTCCTCGACTATATCCAAAATTCCAATTTTTCTATTTCGATCTAGGTAACCTTGAACACCAGGCAAATAGATAGAGGAAAATAGATTAAATAAAACTATAGTAGTTGCTTGCATATATTTTGATCAGCGACATCTGTTGGTGAAAATGTTGCGAAAGTAAAATAACAGCTCTCCATTCCGTATTATTATTGAGTTAATCAGTGTATACATTTACTGCATTTTCGATATTCATTACTTTTGCTGTTTGATTTGAAGAAACCTGCTGCCGAAGTCCATCAAATCTTTTTAAAAGCTTGTGAGCATGCTGATCCATTACAATAAATTTCAAGACTTATTGGACGAAAACCCAGTTCAAAATTTGAAAAAACTCTCAAACAGAAATTGGTTACCATACGTTTCGACATCGCGATTTAATTGTTGGCCCGGCAAAAAAGGAAGAATTTCTGCGGCGTATTGTGACTGGGAAAGAAATGTGAATCTACGATGACAACAAGCACAATAAGCAACCATCCACATCGATACTGAAGTGGAATATTTAAGGCCATAAAGTTTAGCTGGGCATATGGTGTGATCAACAAAGTGTATTGTATTATTAAAATGAAGCTGTTACTGCAGACGTCTACCGACCGATCGTTGCAAGAAAAACCAGCAATAGCGGTTAAGAGACGCAAAGTCATCCTCTTGCATGACAGCGCATGCCATTTCTCAATAAATTCCTTTTTAAAGTGGAAAAATGGTCAACATATATACAAGTACCTAACATGCACATTGTATAACTTGTGCTTCGTCCATTGGTCTGACAAATCCATAGAAATGTTTTAGCAAACGGCACAAATAAATGTCGATTAGTTCTGTTAATGCTTGGATAGTGCACAGTTTTCAAATGAAATCTTCCTATGAAATTTATTCGATTTAAAAAACGCATAAAACCTGTGTGGCACAATTAGTTATTGTACAATATTCATACATATATCGCAGGGTTTATATGCAGCATACATAGTTTATATCTGGGTTTTTTTTTTTTGTCATTGCTTTCACTATATGCCCTATAATTTGCATATACAGTTTTTTTAAGAATATCAATTACAACTTTATTAAGCATATTCATAATTTCTAAGCTCTTGTGTGTATGAAATAGAAAAGCAAAAATAATTCAATTTTCATTTCAATTGCATTGCATTAAATTTCCTTTCACTTATTAATTGCACGTCAAATTGCTGCACATATTTAAGTTCCAAGTTCACTTCATTTAATTGTATAGAAATGAAAATTTCCCAACATCATTGGGTTTCCACATACATAAGCCTGCGAGGAACTGAAGATGAAAGTCATAAAGTTTTTGTTTTGTATTTCGCTTATAGTAGACCTCCAGTGGATGGATGTTGCTGGCATTTTTACTTCATTTGAATGACATTTGATATTCCAGACACTTTGCTATCCCTTCGCATAATATTGAACATATCTAACGACAAAAATCTTTACTACATTTCTTGAATAAATACACGAAGCACATTTACACATTCATAGGCCTACGTATAGGTAGAGATCTATGACAATTGTTTATCAAAACAAAAACAAAAAGACATTTAGTTTGTTTTATTTGTATGCTCTTCTCTGAATCATCTACAACGTTATTTTTTATTCACTTATAAATTTTAACACGCAACTTATTGTTGTTTTTCGAATGAATGCCTCTTCTGCCTCTGTGTATGTGTTTGAGTTTTTAAGTAAAAACAATTGCCTTGCGAATCAAAATGTTAGAGAAATAAAAATTTTCACTTTTACCTGAAATCGAATGAAAACGTAGTAAAACGTTTTCTCAAATTGAGGTAAGTACTACTAATGCAAAGTAAAATTTTTAAAGACTATATATACTTATTCATGTAGATATGCTCATATGTAGGTACGAGGTTGGCGGAAAAGTTGCACCGTATTTTAGCTAAAAAATTTGAATTTGAAAGTGATGGATTTGCTCGTCAGCAGTCGTACGATGAACACCGAACACCTTTGCAATTGCGCAATGGTTAAAGTGGGTTACTCTCGAACAAGTGCCACGAAATGTCCTTGTCACCCAGAATCACAATTCTCTTTGAGACTCAAATCTCCAGAACGAAATGTTGCAAACCATTTTTGTACGTGCGAACATTTACAACTTCACTTCTAAGCAAGAATGAAGAGTATATTCGTTTTGTCAACACATTTGCAACGCCCAGAAGGAAAGTTCGAATTTACCACAAAGCATCTATATTCTTGATCAGCATCAAATTCTGAAATGATATAAACTTGTCCGTCTGTCCATCTGTTTGTGTTCGTAGTGTCT